CCCGGGCCCCGTGGCGATTTCCCTTGATCCTTAGGTAGCAAGTGTCTGTTTTAAGACCAATGGTGTTCCCCGACCAAACGATCCCATTCCTGGGACTATGACCGGTCCTGAACGGTCACCGGGCATCCCATGACTGACTAACGGCCGCTTAGCGACCGCGGACCCCTAACAGCCACGGGTGATTCCTGCGTGGTTGCTGGGGCCCTTGGGTGGCCGGCGGCGGCTCCGCAGCGACAGCAGCTCTCTCGTAGGTCTGGTACATGGATGGCTATTACAAGGGCCGGCGGGTCCTGGAGTTCCGCACTCTGGGAGACTTCATCAAAGGCCAGAACTTTATCCAGCACCTGCTGCCCCAGCCGTGGGCGGGCACAGGCCACGTGGTGTACAACGGCTCCCTGTTCTACAACAAGTATCAGAGCAACGTGGTGGTCAAGTACCACTTCCGCTCACGCTCCGTGCTGGTGCAGAGGAGCCTCCCCGGGGCCGGCTACAACAACACCTTCCCCTACTCCTGGGGCGGCTTCTCGGACATGGACTTCATGGTGGACGAGAGCGGGCTCTGGGCCGTGTACACCACCAACCAGAACGCGGGCAACATCGTGGTCAGCCGGCTGGACCCGCACACGCTCGAGGTCGTGCGGTCCTGGGACACCGGCTACCCCAAGCGCAGCGCCGGCGAGGCCTTCATGATCTGCGGCGTGCTCTACGTGACCAACTCCCACCTGGCCGGGGCCAAGGTCTACTTCGCCTACTTCACCAACACGTCCAGTTACGAGTACACGGACGTGCCCTTCCACAACCAGTACTCCCACATCTCCATGCTGGATTACAACCCCCGGGAGCGGGCCCTCTACACTTGGAACAACGGCCACCAGGTGCTGTACAACGTCACCCTCTTCCACGTCATCAGCACCGCCGGGGACCCCTAGGGGTGCCCCGCAAGGCCCGGGGCCGGCGCCCTTCTGCTCCACCCACGTCCCTTTCTCTCTCTCCGGGGCCCTCTCTTCTCCCCTCTCCTGTACGTTGTTTTCTCTCCCCTCCTTTCCGCCGGGCTTTCCTTCTCTGCCTCTGTATTTCTCATTAGTGCGTTCTCTCTCTCTGTGTCTTTTCTCCTTTGTTGGGTCTCTGGTTTTGATACTTCACTCTTTCTGCCTTTTTATTGCTGACCTTCTTGTCTCTTTTCATGGATCAGACTCTCCGGTCCTTTCCCTGAGGCCTCTGTCTCTCTCTTCCCTCCTCCACCTCCCTCCTCGCTTCCCACCCAGCCCCCAGCCCCTCTCTCAAAGCCCCCTCCCCTCCCTTCAAGGAGTTGAGTGCATGGATCGGTTTCTTTTCTTTTTTTTATTTACACTCTTTCTTTCCAGGTTGCTGGAATAAACGGGACCTTTGACATTTGAGGCTTTGGTTGCTCTGTGTGTCTCAGGGGGGCAGAGGAGGCAAGGTGGAGGCTATGTGTGAGCCTGGAGACCCATCCCAGCTGGGCCCCCTTTGACCCAGGCAGACAAGCCCAGCCTGAGGGCCTGGTGGGCAAGCCCTCTGGGAAGACAGGCGAGGGGACCCACTCCGAAGTTGTTTTGTCTGAAAACAATCTGTCTAAAGGCAATTTGATCCAAACAACCGAGAATTCTCTCACAAAGATGACAACCAGGCCTCGAATGAATATTCCCCATCACTGGTTTTTCACTCGTTGATCACACCGGTGCATCGCTGAGCCATCTGGCAACTTTTTAAATTTTTTTTTTTTTAAACAATTTGGCTGCTTTTAAGAATCTGGGTATGAGAGAGTAGGACATGGCATTTTTCCTTTTCTTTTTGCTTTGTAATTTCAAAATACTTTTAGATGAGTCACACCTGTTCTGAGTTCACTACTAAAAAGGTAAAAACAACCTGAAGGTGCGCTGGGTGGCTTCAGCTGAACACACCCACACCCCACACCTGGAGCCCCTTCACCTGGAAGGGACTTGGGTAGAGACCAGAGCTCCTGGAGGAGGAAGGAGAAGCAAAGCTAGGGAGCACGGGAGGCAGGAAGGCATGTGGGAGAGCCAGGAAGAGATCGAAGGAGGGGCCAGTTCCCTAGGAGCCTCAATGATGTGGCTATGGTGGGGAGTGGGGGGCAGAGAAGAGGAACAGGGGAGGGCTTTATTTTAGCCAGATCCCTGGTGGCCAAGGTGAGACAGACTGCAGGAGTGAGGAGAGTCATCCCTGGGGCCAGTGGTTGGCAACAAGGGGAGTGCGGACTCCCACCTACACGTTCGCTCCACCACAAGGACCCCACTGAATCTGGAGAGGGATCTTACTACGTAAAGAGCCCCACAGGCCTGGATGCCACCCCACTGAGACCATGTAGTTAGCAAGACCTGCTCTTCTGGGAGCTACCCTCCCCCGCCCATCTCTAATTAATGGCCTCTCTGATTAAATCATCTCCGGGAACTCGGGACACAGGGGCCATACTGCAAATGAAACCAATGAATAATAAATGGGACTGCCTAATGCACTCATTTGAAACCAATTTTTAAAGAAATTTTCAAGAAAAGCAATTAATTTCCATTTAAATTAACAAGTTTGACATTGAAAAAGAACCGATTCCGGGATAGGCCCATGGAGGCACTTTGTACCTAGTTAAAAAAAAAAAAAAAAAAAAAAAAACAAAGAATGGGCACCTGGGTGGTTCAGTGGTTGAGCGTCTGCCTCTGGCTCAGGTCAGGATTCCAGGGTCCTGGGATCCAGTCCTGCATCAGGCTCCCTGCAGGTAGCCTGCTTCTCCTTCAGCCTATCTGTCTGTCTCAGGAATTAAAAGAAAGAAAAAAAAAAAAAAAAAAAAACCAGGGACAGGGTTGGGACACTTAGGACCTCTGCACCCCAGCCCTCCTATATGTATTTATTTGCAGACAAATCTCCCAGTGAGCACAGTGGGGGTGGGCAGTAGTTCATTGGTCTCTCCTACCCCCAGTGGAAGGTTGGGGACCGAGGGCTGCCGAGTTCCAGTCTTTGTCCAAAACACACACAGACCTGGAGACCCGCACAGAACGCAGGGCTGGGTGTGGGTGTGCCTGTCACATCTGCACACCGTCCTCCTACAGATGCCCAGAGCACTTGGCATCACACCACCCACCCCCTCTCTCACACACAGAGGCAGGCCCAGAGCTCCTTACAGGTTTGCATTTGTGGCTTTTGTCTCAACCAAAGATTGGCAGGAGGAACAGCCCCCCCTTCCTCCGGGATTCCTCTGTGCCTCGGGCTGCCTGCTGCCACCTCTGACTTCCCCCCCTTGTGGACGCTGTGCCTGGTGACACCGGGGAAGCTTTGCAGCCCATCTTATCCTTGGTAGAGCCTGCGGTACCCCAAGTTAATAAGGGGACCCAGTCCAGCCCTGCCGCATGGCCACAGGCCTGAGCTGGTGCGTGTGGCAGAGGAGTGGAACCCCCCCTCCCCCCTCCCTGCAGCCCTGGCGCCAGGGCATTCTGGGCTGGGAAACACGAGGCCAAAAGGACTGGAGGGAAGACTGCACCGCTGTCACCGTCCAGAAGGTCTGGGATTTATGACCCCGCCTCCAGGCAAGAGGCAGCGGGTGGGAATGCGGAGCAGGTGAGGGAAGCCACAGCTACTTAACCATGAATCACCCCGACGCTGAGTGGCCTCGGAGGCATGTTTATCTAACAGCGACATTCTTTTGTGTTTGGGTTCTGGCCGCTGCACAGCTAGATGAAGGGGGTGGCCACACCCAGTCAGGGGGACTCCTCGTGTCACACAGGACACACACCGAGGGATAACCAGTCACACAGCTGCCCGTGCACGCACACACACACACACATGCACACACGCACGCACGCACAGATGCCCAGTGACAGAGAACGCTACAAAGACCATCTCCCTGCCAACCCCACACAGGAAAACATACACCACTCCCCAGCAGCGTCTCAGCCCCGTGCACCCTCTTCATTTCTGCTCCTTCCCAGAGGCTCGAGTCAGGAAGGGTGTGATCGCTCCCCCGTCACACAGAATTGTTGGTGCAAACGGGGGTGCTGCCGCCTGCCTGCTGGCCCCCACAGGTGACGGGAGATTCTGTGGAGAGGAAGCCCATTAAACCTTCCTAATGACAAACACTCTGGCAGGCAGCAGGCAGAGAGCGATTGCTCCAGAAACCAGCCAGATGGGAGCTGGCCCAGGTGACCGTTTATGAGACACAGCCGTAGGGGCCTCCCTTGGGGTGGGGCTGGTTTCCATTGAACGAGGGGGGTAGAGTGGGCTAAACTGATAAGCCCCGTGACTGAAGTGCGCCCCCAGCCCAGGCCCTGGCACAGGGGAGGCCGTGAGGAGGGGACAGAAAGCAGGAGGGCCACACCCACAGGCCACCTGGGAGATGCCTCTACTCTCTCTGCCCACAGAGACCCCCTCTGCTCCAAGAGGGCCCTTTCCCCACGGACCCTCCCCCAGAGGGTTGGGCAGGATCCCCACTCTCAGAAGTGCCTGGTGGTAGCACCCCTCTTCCTGGCTGGTCCCATGTTGCTAAGGTAACAGCATCTGAGAAGGAGGCAGGACCCGGGAACATCGTGCCAGAAGCATTTGTAATAACAGGAAAGCAGGGATCAGGGTGCTGGGTCTAATCTGTTCTACTTGGGAGTGGCCTGTGTATGGAGGGCATGGGGTGATAGGTGCAGAGGGCACTCAGGGCAGGGGGGCTTCGGTCTGGCTCTCCAACGATCCCCTGAAGATCCCCAGCTCCACCCTGACCTGCTAAATCCAGAGATGTGAGGTCAGGGCACTGCCCTTGCATTCTCGAACATTCTTCAATACCCAAGTTGGAGGACCACTGGCACTGACTGGCACCCTGGCACCCCACTTCTCTGCTAGGAGCCCTCCTTCCCCGGGATGAAGGGAGGCTTCTCAGGGAGGAAATGCAGTCTGGATACTTGGACACCAGGGAGGGTGGAAGATGATGGCTCCTCTGACAGCTCCCCCCTCACCTCAGCGGGGAGGGAACGAGACACAGGACAGCAGAGTAGTGGTTCCAAGTTTAATCAAGGATGCGAAGGGGGCTGCACTGCCACTCAGTGAGGACCCCAAGGTGGTGGGCAGCCTGGGCCCCACGTGGAGCATTTGCTTTTTGCAATTGAATAGAGGAACATAGCATAACCAGAAACAGTGTTAAGGCCGTCCTGCCCCCATCCTGGACCTGGGTGGCAAGGAGGGACACAGGGGCAGTTCAGCTGACTAGGCCTTCTCTTTGGGACAGGTCACCCCCACCCCTTCCGTCTGGGAGCCTCCTCACTCACCTGCCCTTCTGAAGTCAATTCCTAAAGGGGAGGGGAGTCTGACAGGGACAGCTCCAACTAGGGGCAGAGAGGGGGCCCCCAGTGGTGAAGAGCTCCTCTCAGCCATTTTGGGAACAATAAATACTGTGACGTCAGCAGGGTGGGGCACCTGTTGGCCAGCTGACAGCAGGGAGCAGAGTCTGTGGGCCCAGCCACCCATCCCGCCCCACCCGACCCTGCAGGCCAGGCCTGAGCCACCCACATCCCTCACTCCGTGCGCAGGATGATGTGGATGCCGGAATCCGTGAACACGGGCCCGCTCATCTCCCCCGTCCGCAGTGCAAAGGAGGCATCTTCAAATGGCTTCTGCATCTGACCTGGGGAAGTGTGAGCGATGGTGTGTGGGGGTCAAGACCCGGCCGCAGGCCAGGACCAGGTGGAGCGGGCAGATGGGACTCCTACCTGCGCTGAGCCTCACGCTCATCCATCACATGGTTTATGGCCCTGTCAGTGGGGCGGCGGGCCATTAAGAAGGCCCCAGGAAGCCTGAGGACAGCATGAGGGATGGCAGGCAGAGCTGCTGCCACTGCTGTGCACTTGGGAGGCACATTTTAGTGATGAACTCGTCTCCCTGGGCCCCCGTTCCCAGCCCCTGCCGCATCATCTGTCCTGCCTGCCTCCTGGGGCACACAGGCAGCTGACAGCCCCTTGCTGGCTCTTCCCACACTCCTCACCCCATCCTGGGCCCCTCCCTGATGCTCTGCAGACCCCAAGATGGAGGGGGAAGAGGAGAGAAAGGAGGAGGAGGAGGTGGCCTGATCCCCTCTGCTCCCCCCTTTCCACTGCCTGAGCCCTATAGGCCTAAACTCAGGGCTGCTGAGCTGAACTCTCCTCCCCTCACTCCTGTGGGTGATGCTGGGAGGGGCATTTTTGGGGACCCAGCCTTACACCCCCCAACCGGAGGAGAGGCACACGGCAGCCAAGTACCTACCCTGCCGTGTCCATGATAGGGACAACTGCCATCGAGGGACCCACAGACGGACTCCCCACCGCAGGGGGGAAAGGAAGCCAGGCAGAGGGCTCTGCAGCCCAACCAAACCCCCAGCAGTGGGAGTCCCTCTGGAGCCTGCGGGACTGTGCTGCCACCTGGTGGACCCTGAAGACCTGCACAGCCGGGGCTACCCCTCCCAACCTCCCCCTGGCAGGGGGATCCTGGCGGCTGGGACAGAGGCTCCTCTAGGGCCAGGTAGTGCCCACTCCTTGCGCACCTCTGCTGAAGGCACCCAGGTCTCCCCTGGCCTTGGCCGAACTGCAGTCGCTGAACTGTGAGGCCAGAGATTCAAAGTCTTCCTCTCCTGACTTGATCTTCTGGATGTAGCCTGTGGACATACAGGGAGACCTCTCGTCAAAGGGAGGGTGGGATGGAGTGGGGGGCTCCTGATGGAGGGGGCACTTCCCTCGGAAAGGAGGCATGCAACCCCTGCCCTATTTGCAAGGGTGACCACTTGCTCCACACACATTCATGAACACCCCCCCCCCCACCAAGTGTGCGCACCCTGACCTTGTGGCGGCCTCAATAGCCACACTGGTCTCAGAGCCCGTTCCCCCATCCCAGCTCCCTTTGCCACTCCTACCTCCCGCCCCCTACAGACATAACATGAACACAACATGACCTTTTCCCACACCCCAACACGTATTTTGGGGAAAATCTTTACCTCTAGGCCCTGTTGGGGAGGAGGGCAAAAAGCAGGGCAGATACTGAAGAGGGATGCTGGGACCCAGGGCCCTGCCAAGATCCTACAGGGCACTGATGGGGAAATTTTCTAGAAGTTTCCAGGAGAAAGGCAGGAGGCCGGGGCACCAGGCCGGCTCTGCCACAGGAGCTGTTGGCGGATCCCCTGAGCCTCAATTGTCCAACCTATCAAAACTGGGAGGAAGGCCCAGGCTGTTAAGTGGGGCGTCGTGAAGAGACCACAAGGCAGCCGAGACAGGACATGTGTCATTTCCATGGACATGGCCCCACAGCAGCCGACACCATTCTTGCAGCTGCTCTAAAAGGCTGTGGTGGCATCACACTGGATGCATCCTGTGTGTGGTACAAACTGCTTCTACTGGGGACTCATCTCCTGGGGGCGGGGGGTGGGGGAAGGCTGAGGCTGCACTGAGCACCTATATGACTCATATGTGGGGAGCAGGGCACATAGGAAGGCTGTGTTTGCGTGGTGAGGAAGAGCACCCTGAGTCCTGAGTCCAGGTTCCAGGCAGGAGCCCCTAGAGCCAGAGCCCACCCTCTCCTCCTCGAAATGCCCCATCCTGCTCCAACCAGCTACCCCAGCGCTTGAAGGAACATTCCTGCCAGTCTTGTCCCTGCACCCACAGGCGCAGCCACAGGGTGTGCTCCCAGGACATGCAGCTCCAGACCACCCTGGTCCCACGTGGCCTCCCTGACAGCTACTCTCCTGGGGACATTCTTTTTTTTTTTTTTTTTAATTTTTATTTATTTATGATAGTCACAGAGAGAGAGAGAGAGAGAGAGAGAGAGAGGCAGAGACACAGGCAGAGGGAGAAGCAGGCTCCATGCACCGGGAGCCCGACGTGGGATTCGGTCCCGGGTCTCCAGGATCGCGCCCTGGGCCAAAGGCAGGCGCCAAACCGCTGCGCCACCCAGGGATCCCTCCTGGGGACATTCTGCACACCCACCCAGCCCACCCCGGGTGTGAGAATCACCCTGTCATCCCTGCTAGTGGGCTTCTGCACACCACCCTCCACTGCTCCTGTCTGAGCACCACAGGGACGCTGCTGATTAAGCCACCTGGCGAACTGAGGCCCAGACACCCAGCCGGGGCCATCTGCCTGCTGAGCTCGTGCAAACTCCGCTATGACCACAACTGAAACAGCACAACTGTGACAACACACCTATCACCCCATCCTGTCCCACACCATGGCAGCACCCGGGGTCCTGGTATCTGGTCCACTGGGCGGCTTCCACTGCTGTCCCCGTCACCCTGTCATCCCCATGTCCCGACCATCCCTCTACTGCTGGCCCATTAGTCATCTGCCAGCAGACCACAGTGACAGCACAGTGTGCCTGCCATGGAGACTCTGACAAATGTCAGGTGCTGTCACAATTCTCCCATCCACAAGGGCCACGCGTCTCAGTGATAAGACTCCCCCGTTTCTGTGTGACTTGCCCATCCCTGGGCTATCCCGCCTGTGCATCTTGTCATGGACAGGCTGCCTGGTCAGAAAAGCTTGCCAGTGTGACATGAGCCCCACCCTCCATGGGCAGGGGTGGCTTCTGCCTGCAATGCCCCTGCTGGGGCTGACCATGCCCTCTGGGGCTGCTAGGTGGCCCTCCAGTGCCGGCTGCACCCATTAGTGATCCAGCCTGAACTGGACATCACCGAGACTTCTCTACTCCCTGGACTCCGGGCTATCTCTTCGCCTCACCTGGGCAGCCTCAAGATTCTTCCTCCTTTCCCTTGTCTGGACCTCGATTCGCTGGCCAGAGAATCCTGTGCATACAGTGTTCCCTGCTGTAACCTGCCCGCCTCCGGGCACAGGCCCCGCACCTGCAGAGCCGAGCCCAGTACAGCACCACCTTGCCGCATCCTCCAGGAGCCGACGCCGTGAGTCAGCAGGGATCCCTGAGACTAGATGGCCTGGCTGTGGTACACACAGATATCAGCCCAAAAATCAAATAAAAGCCAAGTTTCTGCCCGCCATAGTTCATAGCACCCAAATCTTCCTCCGATCAGCCAACTCTCAGGAAACGTTCTGCTTGGACAGGAGCCTCAAGTGACTTAAAAACAAACAAACAAAAATCACTGCTTTCTCATCTCCCCTTTCTAGAAGCTGCCCGTCAGGAGTCTGGCCACAAGCCAAGATGCAAGGGAACCCTCAGGCCCCTGTGCATCCCCTGTGCTCAGTATTACCCCAGCCCCGCTGACAGCCCTCTCAATCTGCCCTGCCCCTGCCACCTCGAGGCCTTTGCTTAATGGTCTCTTCCCATAGGAAGCTCATTTGTTGTCCTCTGGCCTCATCCAGGAGTCTTTCCTAAGACCCCGCTGTGGGAGGTGCCCCCCTACATTTGCCAGTGTCCCATCTGTGTGTCACCTGCCTCAGACTGGGAGGGCAGGGCCAGTGGGCCTTGGTCGCTGCTGTGTTCCCAGCACCTGGCCCTGTGCACAGAACAGGTGCTCGCTAATGCTGAAGGAATTCATGAATAAATGAGACAGAAAGAGGCCACGGAGAAGGAGGGAGAGGGATCCACCCCTCCGCTCCTTAGACAGAAATGCTGGAATCTCATGTCTCTTTCCTCTGTGCCTTAGATCCAAATGCTCAAGGGGGGAGGAAAAGGAAGCACATACCAAACATCCCCTGCCACCCTCCTGGCGATGCCCTGACCTAGCCGGACTGCCTCAACACCCCTCACCGAGACCGCACTCCATCCAACGGGTGCTCCAGGTGAGAGGCAGATCCTGGGGGGCAGCCTCTCAAGGAGCTCCCCATCTGAAGCAGGGAACTTTTACCTGATCTGGGGAGTTGGGGGGCCTTTGAAACTGGCTGCATGACAGAAGTGCACCTGTCGCTGCTGGGAGGTCACAGGCTGGCTTGCTCTATGCGTCTCTGAGGCCGAGGCGGGTAAACTCTAGACTCCCCCACTGTTGTATTCAGATCTCAGCTCTACCCATCCCGAGCTCCGTGACCCTGGTGGGTGACTGCCTCTCAGAGGGATACTCGCCTGACCTGTAAAATGGGCTGTTTATAGCAGCTCCCACCCTTGAGGGCTAGCAGGAGGGACGGTTACTGCTGGAAAATGCCTGGTGCAGCGCAAGCCCCTGACAGTTACTAGCTGTCAGTCCATGTGGTAGGGATTGAACTGTGTCCCCCCCAAGTTCGTATGTTGAGGCCTCAATCCCCAAAATTACTGTGTTTGGAGACGGGCCTTCATGCAAGTAATCAGGGATAAATGAGGTCATAAGGGAGACCTCCTGGTCCCATAGGATTAGGGTCCTTATAAGAAGAGACACTAGAGAGCTCCCCCTCACTCCCCACATGCACATGCCATGGAAAGGCCACGTGAGTACACAGTGAGGAGGCAGCTGCCTACAAGCCAGAAAGACAGTCTTCACCAGAAACTGAATCGGTCAGAACCTTCATCTCAGACTTCTAGCCCTGGAACTGTGGAAAATAAATACCCAGCCTGTGGTATTCTGTTACAGCACCCCAAGGTAATACACCACAATTGTTTAGGGAAAGTGAGTAAACAAATCAGTGGTCTCTGATTCTAAGATGTTGCTTTTTTTAAAGCAGGGGAGGGGTAGAGGGAGAGGAATAGAGAATCCTAAGCAGGCTCCACACTTAGCCTGGACCCCCAATGTGGGGCCCCTGAGATCATGACCTAAACAAAATCAAGAGTTGGATACTTAACCGATTGAGCCACCCAGGCACCCCTAGAAAGGTTTAGAGACAGACAAGGGAAGGGGCCTGGACCAAGTAAAAGTGGACAGGATTAAATCTGCCCAGAAGACCGAAGATCCAGCAGGAGGGGCCCAGAGAGACCAGAGACTCAGCCTGAAGACAGTAGACTGGAAGGGACTCGCCAACCTGGGGTGGGGACGCTAGGCCAAAGGAGCTCACTGACCCGCAGACCCTGGGAATGAGCATGTTTGAGGAGACTGCTACTCACACCAGGGCCTCCCTGGGACCTTTAGGTCCCAGGCATGTGGGGCTGGAGGGATGGGAAGCAGGTGGAGAGGGCTTCTCCACAGCCTGGCCTCCTTAGACAAGGACACTGGCAATGACAGGCAGCTGGTCCCCAGATCCCTGGCAGGGCCTGGCCACAGCCCAGCAGCTGCAGAGGAAAAGGAGCCTCAGCAGAAAACGCGGACATGCTGGTTCTTATTGCAGGCAGCCTGTCCCCTCGGGGCGATGGACCTAAATGGGTACTGATGAGATTCGAGTCCAAATCCTGATCTCCTGATCACCTGGAACAAGCCCAGGACAGGGGGAGCGTCCACTTTCACAGAAGAGAAAAACAGGCCTGGACACCCGAAGCTTGCTGACAGGGTACATGAGTGTCTGGTTACAAAGCATTCCGTGGCCTGGGCCATCTCCCAGCTTTCTCCTAATGACCCCTGAGGGGTCTGTCCCAGCTCATCTCAAGACACTGAGTAAACAGGCCAAGGTCACCAGAGGGTCTCCATGCTGAGCCCACCAGGCTCCTGAGTCCCATCCAAGTCCCACCAGGCTCCCTAGTCCCTGCTCAGAGTTCTTTCAAGGAAGGGGCAGATGCCTTGTCCTGACCTGGGCCCTCAACCACACAGGCCTGAATGACCAGGGTCCTGTGTAGATGTTAAGCGCTGGGCGCTGAGCCCACTGCTCTGTTGAGCCGTCAACCGCTGGCCGGCCCCTGGGTCTCATGTCCTATCCCCATTCTACAGATGATGCAGCCAAGGCTCTGAGATACTTGCTCAAGGCCACACAGCTGGCACCAGGCTTTATCTGTGTGTGACTCCAGGATGAGCCACACTAGTTATGACCTCACCCTGCCCCACCCAGCTAACCCGTTACCATATCCTCCTGAGTCTGCCTCCTGACCTCTTGGGAATCTGCTCCCCTCTCCCTGGCCAGTCACATCACACTGCCTGTAGCTGCAGCTCTGCCCATAGCTCCCCCGGGCCATCTGCACAGGTACATGCATGTTCCAGCCCCTGCTAACACTCCAGAGTCTACACTGACTCCAGGGCCTGACAGCTTTCTGGGAGCACGTCCCAGATCCCCCTTCTCCAAGACCTAACTGACTCAGCAGCCCCAGGATCCTCCCACAGTAACAGCCCACCAGGCGCACACCTATCCATCCTGGAAATGGGGAGGCATCCTCAGTTGCCCCTCCCAGGCAGTCCCCGAGGCCTAACAGCCTTTCTTCCCAGCCATACCCACTGCTTCGGCCTCCTGCCATCTCTTGCCAGGATTGTCCCAAAGGTCTCTGGCTCTGGCCTGGCTCTTCTGCAGAACTAGACCCTCTCCCAGATGGTCCGCCTCTTGCCCACTCTTGTGGGTTCCCAAGCCTCAGAACAGGGACCACCTGAGCTGGGAGGACCCAGGTCACCCCTTGATTCTCTGGGCATTCTCCACTAACCTCCTCCTCTTCCCTGGGGCAGCATACCCCTCCCCCCAGCTGCTCAATGTTAGATCCAACCAGCCTGGGCTCTGGGCCTCCCAGCATCCCTGGCCCTTGACACCCCACACTGCTCTCTCCTGAAAGCAAGGCACTGCAGAACCAAACCCCCAGTCAAATATGGCCAGCTTTCCTGCTGTCTCCAGAAAGAACCCGGACTCTTTGCTCACTCAGGGCCCCCCCCAACCTTGCTGGGATAGGTCTCATCCTCAGTCTTGCTGGGATAGGTCTCATCCTCCTCAGTCCCCTGCACAGCCTTCCCCAGAGCCCAAGCTACGGCCTTGCCCAGGCCTTTACTTCTGGCTCCCTGCTGTTCATGAAACAAGGCCGTGAGGACAGAGTGTAGGCCAGGCTGTGTGTAGAGTGGTGGGAATATGGTGGGAAGAGAGCCCTCACAGAGTTCAGGAGGCGAGCTCTTTAACCTGCCTTCCAGAATCTGCGCATGAGCTCTGCTCCTCTCCATGAGGCCGCCGTGTGAGGCTTGCAGGGGCCAGGACACCGCAGGAAGTGTGTGGGTGTAAATAATATCCTGCAGCCCAAATACCGGATCAAGTAATATGACAGTCAAACAACCGCCAACACTGACCGGGTCTGCACTTTGCAAGGCCTGTGCTCCTAACAACAATCATCATGACCGTTAGCAATTAGAGGACATTTACTAGACACCAGGAACTGTGACTCATGCTTTACGTTCATGCTTTTTACTGCATGAGGTCAGAGTCTTCACAACTGTCCTAGGAGGTAGGTTCTATCATCAAAACACAAATCTTACAAGTAAAAAGACAGGTTCAGAGATGTTAAGTAACTTGCTCAAGGTCACACAGCCAGGGCTGGGCAGTGCCAGATAGGAACCCAGGCAGTCAAGGTCTGGGTAAGGCACAGGTCATATGGGGTAAGAGCAGCCCAGGAAGGGCCTGGGGTCTGTGGTGCCAGAGTCTGAATGATTAAACCACACGTGAGATCCAGCCCAGCACTGTCCAGCAGAACTTCCTGTAAGGATGGAAAAGTTTTATATCTGTGCTAAGATGGCAGCCACTAGCCACCTGTGGCTGCCAAGCACTTGAAGTGTGGCCAGAGTAAGGAACCAATCTTGAATATGGCTTAGTTTTAATTAATTTAAATGTGTAGGTAGTGGCAGCCACACCAGGCAGCTCCATACCAGGGTTCTGCAACTTATGTCCCTAGTGGGCTAAATGCTGCTGATTTCATAGTTTTCTTGGCACCTACACACCAGGTATGGGCAGGTATGTGACAACACCCATTTTACAGAGGTGAAAACTGAGTCTCAAGATGACACAAGCTCCCCCTGGAGCTTACAGGGCATAGCCACCATCTGAACCCAGGGCTGCCAGCCCCCAAGGCTGGGTCCTCCTCTCCTAACCCGGTTCACCCTCAAATGCCAAATAGAAAGAAAAAGGAGAGGCAGCTGCGCAGTCCAGGCTTGTGTCACGTACAGGCAGTTCGGTGGCAGCCAACGCTGACAGCTGAGTTAGCTGGGGTGCAGGGCCTGGTGTGATTTCTACGAGGCTGGCTCCGGCTCCCAATGAGGGGACAACCTCTTCCCACATTCCCCCCACTCCAACCTGCTTCCAACTTTGCTCACCATTAATCAGCTCCAGGGCCTCCTCCTTGGTCCTGGTGATCTTCTCCTGTCGCCAGGATGAGGGCCGCCGGGACTGGCTGTGCTTGACAAGCAGGTGCGAGCAGCGGACCCTGGTGGGCTCTCCTTGTCCATTTTTGCTGCCACTGCTGCTGTTGCCACTCGGCCGCTCCCACTGGCTGGCGTTAGTGATGTGATTGAAGTAGTATACCCGGCCTGGAGGAGGGGGGATACAGGAATTCAGCTGGAACCTGCTCAAAGGACACCACCCGGAGGCCAAGATGACGGACCGGCCAATGGGACGCCTTCATTCAACAAATCCCCTGAGTCCACCCGAGCTACAGGCCCCGAGGGAGCCAGCATTCTAGATGGGGATGGGCAGGCCCCAGACAAGCAAATAAGACAATGTCATAACTTCAGTTATTAGTGACTTCAAGGAGGAAAACCACCCAGAGTGACAGGAGAGACAAAGTTGGTGTGGGGACAGGCAGCCAGGCTGCCTGTTCAAGTCTGGCTGTCACTCACTGTGTGAGCTAACCTCTCTGGGCCTTGATTCTGTCACCTGTAAAATGCAGATAACAACAGTCCCTGCCTGTAGGGTTGTGCTAAGGACTGAGTGAGCTCACAGCGGTAACACACTTAGACTAGTGCCCAGTACACATTAGGAGCGTGACAGCTATCATCTCCCTGTAGACGACAGAAGTGAGGCCTCACCTTCCACACCTTTGGAATGTTTCCTGAGTGTACACTTGGCCCCAGGCACACATGGCTGGAGGCAGGAATCATACCCAGGTTGCCAAACACGAAAGCTCTGTTCTTAACCCGCGCCCGGTGTACAGCGCTGCACAACTATGGACCAGCAGTACAGGGGGGTCAAACGTTATCCAGGGCCCAAGGAGCAGGAAGGAGGGAAGGCCACAAGAGAGAAGATTGAGGTAGAACCCAGGAGAGCCCAGGCATCATTCCAGGGGCTGAGATTTTTGCACGACTGGCACCCAGCACCGTGAAGCACTGAAGGTCACCTCTGAGGAAGACCATTAGGGTGGAGCCGAGCAGAAATGGCCAGAGAGGGGGCCCAGAACCGGGCAGAGCATCAGATTCATGCTGTCAGCTGTGGCCACGGAGCAGGGCTGGAGCGAGCTCAGTGAGAGCTGAGCCAGTGACCGACCCTAAAACCTTGCAATGGCCTCTCTCTCCATGAACCTTGGTTTTCTCATCTGAAAAGTGGGGATGAAGCAAGAGATTAAGGACATAACTTCACGGGGCTAATGTGGAGAACAGTGATGATCCGTGCAAAGTGCTCACCAGAGGGCCTGGCCTTCAATGAGCAGATATCACTGTGACTGTGATTTTTATGGGCTGGGGAGGCAGTGCGGTGAGATGCTGGGCCTGCTCCTCACTGGTCTGCAGTGACAAGGGCAGGCGGGCTCTGCTGTCAGACTGACCGGACTCTAATCCAGCCCCCACCCCCTGAAATGAATGACCTTGGGGGAGCTCCTTAAGTTTTCTGACTTCAGCTTCCTCACCTGCAAAACGTGATAACCATCCACCTCCCAGAGTTGTGGTCATTCAGAGAGAGAGAGAACACACTCCAAACACACTTGGCACAGGGCTGGGCGGTAAGATGAGCGTGCCCGGTTACGGGTATTATTACTGTGGCTAAGCCTCAGATCGGGCTCCCGGCACAGGGTCCATCCACCGGGCGGCAACGACAGACTCGGGTTAGGCGGGGATGGTCGGCGGGTTAGCAGGGGCAGGTTGTGGGCCCGAGGCCCGGCAACGCTCTGGGGCCACGCCCTGAGCGTGGGGTTGGGGTGTCCTTCCCCGGGGTGCCCCCCGGGCCCAGCAGGGTGCAGAGACGGTCCCCGGGGACGTCGGGTGCATTAGGCCAAAAGGTGTCAGCGGGATCGGCAGGGCCAGGGCCATCACTGGGGGAGTGCTGCGGGATCCCCGGCCCCCCGCCCCCGCCCCCCACCCCCGGCAGCGCGCTGGGTCTCTCCGGCCCCGCCCCTTGCCTCAGTTTCCTCCGGCATCCCCGCTCCTGAGGTTCGCAGCCCCCACGGGGCGGGCCCGGGCCGTTACCCTGGGAAGACGCGGAGGAGCCAAGACCCCACGGGAATCGGGCGGCGGCGCCGCGCCCCAGGGGCGAGCTCGAGCCCTGCTCCCGCGGGCCCGCGCGGCCCCGCCCCAGCCCCGACCCCCGCGGCACCTGAGCTGCGGCTCATGCGCTTCTCCCAGCCGGGCGGCAGCTTCTCCTCGTCCGCCATCTTCCCTCCTGCCGCAGCGCCCGCTCCGCCTCCGCCGCACCGCCTATGCCGCCCGCACCCGCCCACCGCCGCCGCCGATTGGCTCGGCCCGCCTCGCCCCGGGGCCCGGCCACGATGCTCATTGGGCGCCCGAGCAGTCCGGAGAGGCCTTCGGGCTTTCTATTGGGTAGCGGCGAGACCGGGCGGATCCTCCGTGCGTTCTACCGGGTCCCGCCCCCGTACGGCCTCACCCGGACCCCGCCCCCTTCCTCCCTCGGCCGCTAACTGGTAGGGAAGGGGCTGGAGCCCGTCCTTCTCCACAGCCTCCGGCGAGCTTCACAGAAGTCCGGGCACCTCGTTTGCGTCCTTCGCCGCAGGCCCCATCCGATTGGCTACTGCGGCAGTAGTTCCCGCCTTCCTAAGCCGTTCCCGGAGGCCCGCGCCCCCTTATGCGGAAGTGTCCGGGTGGTTTCGAGGTGACGGCAGCCCACGAGGTACTTGAAAGAGGCGGTGCTGCCTTAGCTGTTGCCGTAGCAACGCAGTTGCCTTGGTGATGAGCAGCGAAGAAGCCTAAATTTGGCTCCTCCATCCTCCTTCTCCCCACCTGTTTCCTCCAGATGTCCAAAGCTGTCCCCCCACTTTTTTTTTTCTTTTGCGAGTCTAACCCTTTCCCTGTGCCACTGACCAAACATCTTCTACTTCCTTTGGAGCCTACTTTACTTATTCTCTCGGGCTGGCTCCTGCCTCTGTCCTGGGTGACTGGTGGGTGTTGGCATGGCCACTTAGCTGGCGACACAGGAGGATGCGCCTGTAGGAGGATGATGAGCTCAGTTTGAATCGTCTTAAAATTGTGCGGCACCTGTGGGACTCTGGGGAGATGCCTGGGGACAGGCTGGAGATAGATACGAGAGGCAAAGACACCAACAAGGAAGAGTTCAATGATAGTTCATCTAGAACTAGACCCCTATGTGACCATTAAAAAAGAATGAGGCGGGGATCCCTGGGTGACTCAGTGGCTTAGCACCTGCCTTCAGCTCAGGGCGTGATCCTGGAGTCCCGGCATAGAGTACCACATCGGGCTCCTTGCATGGAGCCTGCTTCTCCCTCTTCCTGTCTCTGCCTCTCTCTCTGTGTGTCTCTCGTGAATAAATAAAATCTTAAAAAAAAAAAGAATGAGGCAGAGTTATATAAAACATGGGGAAACATGTCTATAAGAAATAGGATATAGTAGGTTAAGAGCATTCAAGAGCCAGATCGCTTGGGTTCAAAGCCTGGCTATGACTTTGAAGAAACTAATCTCTGTGTTTCAGCTTCTCCATCTGCAAATGAGAATAAGAAATATATATATCTCATATATACCTTTGATGCAAAGATTAAATGAGTTAATCTGTAGAATGCTCTCCAAACAGCATCTGCCTCATAGCAAAAATATGTTTGATGAGTGAAAAGTAAAGCTAGTCACTGTACAGTGTAGCAATTATAGTATGTATGAAAGCATAACAAATCAACATTAATTGAAAAGAATTAGATTATAGAAAGATATCAAAGCATTAAAAAACATAAAAAGGAAGCTGCAGAATATGTATAATTATCTTAATTGTGTAAAAACCATATACCAAAATTTCTGGATTCAAATATGTTAATGACTAGCACTGGTAATTCAGGTGAAGGAAAAATTGAGAATCTTATGTTTCAATATAACATTTTGATTTTTCTTACAAGCACATATGATAATCTTAACCATAATATTTTTTAAAAAATGATTTTCAAGGTGTCTGGGTGGCTCAGTCAGTTAAGCCTTCGGCTCAGGTCATGATTTCAGGGTCCTGGGATTTGAGCTCTAAGGTGGGATCCCTGCTCAGTGGGGAATCTGCTACTTTCTCTCCTTCTGCCCCTGCTCATGCTTGCTCTTTTTCTCTCTCAAATAAATAAAATCTTCAAAAAAAAAATGATTCTTGACTTAGTGCAGAGTTACAAAAATAGTGTAGATTTTTCATATACCCTTTACCCAGCCATCCCTTATACTAACATCTTATATAATAACAGAATGGAGGTGGGGCTCCTGGCTGGCTCAGTTGGTGGAGGATGTGACTCTTGGTCTTAGGGTTGTGAGTTCAGACCCTACATCATGTGTAGAGATCGCTTAAAAATAAAGTCTTTAAAAATAGAACAGAGATCACAAGGGATCACTTTTGTTTCCCTGGGGGCATTTGGCATTTTTGGTTGTCACAAATAGTGGGGAGGGAGATGCTACTAGCATTTAGTGGGTAGAAGCCAGGAATGTTGTTGAACATCCTATAATGCACAGCAACTCCAACAAAGAATTATCCGCCCCAATGTCAACAGTGCCAAAGCTGAGAAACCTTGCCCTAGAATAATTATCAAACATTTGTAAATACTATTGGAAATCAACAATAGTACAATACTATTAATTAAGTTAGACTTTGGAAGAGAATTTCCTGTTTTCCCACTAATATTCTTTTTATGTTCCAGGACACACATTTGTCGTGTGTCCTTAGTTTCCTCCAGTTCATGACATTTTTTAGGTCTTTTCTTGTCTTTCATGACCTTTGATACTTTCAAAAAGCAGAATGTCCCTCATTCTGATGTTTTGTCATGATGGGGTTTGTCTGGTATTCTCTAATGATTTGAGGTTACTTGTTATTGGGAAATATATCACAGAGACAAGGTGTCCTTCTCAGTGCCTCATACCAGGTGATCAATGATATTGATCAATGATATGTTTTACTGATTGTATTACAGCATCTTTTCCTGCATAACAAATTACCCTATAATTTAGTGGATTAACATTTAGTATTTCATAGTTTCTATGGAATCCAGGCACAGTTTAGCTGGTGTTAGCAGGAATGGCTGTGGTCTCATCTGAAGGCTTGACTGGGGCAGGCCATGTGGTTGCTTGCAGGATTTAGTCGTGAAGGGGGTGATGGATGGCTGAGGAACAGAGTTCCTTGCTAGCTTTGGCTGGGGGCCTCTCCGTGAGGCAGCTGGCTTTCATCAATGAGCAAGTGAGAAAGCAAGACAGAAGCCACAGTCTCTTTGCAACTTAATCTCAGAAGTGATATCCAATCACTTTTGCCATGTTCTATTTGTTAAAAGCCAGGTCTGGTCTATGCTCAAGAGCAAGGGATTACACAAGGTTGTGAATACCAGGACAAGAGGATCATTAGGAACTACATTAGAGTCTGCCTACCATACTTGTGATGTTATTAACCTTGATCATTTGGTTAAGGCAGTATCTAAACTTACAATTTTCCTCCTTGTAATGAATACTTTCTGGGAGATACTTTGAGGCTGCACAAATATCCTACTTCTGCTTAAACGTTTACCAATGGCTGCCAGTTTTTAGCATCTGTCAGTATTTCTTTATCTACAGCAATTAATTACTATGGTAATGGTGATTACCATTACTATGATGGTAATCATATGATTACTATGCAGTGATTTATTATTTTCCTCTTCTCCATTTAACTGCAATCCTTTTATAATGAAGAGTTGTCCCTTGTTTATTTACATTCAATTATTTATTGACATAAGTATGGGCTCAAAGATACTTATTTTATACTACTGATTATAGTCCAATACTATTATTATCTGGTTGTCCAGTTCGTTCCAAATTTGGAAACTGTGAGCTTGTTCACAGGCTGGCTTCTGTGCTCTTTCTATATGCTCTCATCCTTTCTATTGGAGCACTTCCTACTACCTGGCCCAAGATATTCCAGGCTCAGATAGTATATTCTCTATCCTAGTTCTGGAACCAATCACTTCTGGAAGGCTTGGCTCCTTTCACTGGAGAATATTTAGAAACTAAGATCTAGGTGCTGGGTATGCCCATTGCTACTGGGGTGTCACTGCTTCTGGTCCAAGGGGATAAAGCAAGGAAATATATGTATGTATACATACATCTACATTTCTGCATGTCTGTATACATACTAAACTAAAAACATGAGTCCATACTAATACCTCCAACTCTAATCCAGCCTCACAGAGTTTATTCTAACCACTTCCTTTCACCCCACCTTGTTTTGTTTATAACTTCTTTCTCCAGCAGTGAGAAATCTGGCTCTATCTACAATATATTTACCTGTTTGTTCAACCATATGTGTGGTTATAGGTGTACAAAAGTAGTTCCAGAATTGCTCAATCATAATGCTGTGAGGAATTTATTTAGAGTACAGTGTTTGTGTATGATTCTTTTTGTCTTTAGCCTTACAGTATCCAGTCAAAATACTTTTCCAAAGCTACTAGGTCAGCTCCTTTCTTCCCTACCCCTTTTGGTGTGGTCATGTGATTCACTTGTAATACAAGCAGATTCATCTGACAGCCTGCATTCTATCTTTCTTTCTTCCTACATCCTAGTTGACAAAGTAAAGTCCTCATCCACTACCACAGTTCTACACAAGCAAGTACTATCATCACAAAAGCCCCTCTGTGTCTTTTTATATAAAGCAAAACAAGCAATTATCAATAAACTAATGAAAAAGAATGAGATTAATTTATATGGAACATGAAAAATAAAGCATAAAAAAGCAAGTGATTGGGGCATCTGGCTGACTTGGTCAGTACAGCATGTGACTCAATATTGAGGTGAGGAGTTCGAGTCCCATATTGGGAACTTAAAAAAAAAAAAAAGCACTGAATGGTATATATTACAGAATGCATAATTAGGGATGCCTGGGTGGCTAGCGGTTAAGCGCCTGCCTTTGGCTCAGGTTGTGATCCTGGAGTTCCGGGATCGAGTCCCACATTGGGCTCCCTGCAGGCAGCCTGCTTCTCCCTCTACCTATGTCTCTGCCTCTCTCATGAATAAATAAAATCTTAAAAAAAAAAGAATGCATAACTAAGCCAACTGTATAAAAAGTATAGGTTATATTTCAGAAAATTTCTGGATTTACTCAAATATATTAAATATGTTAAAAATTACCACTGGGAGGGGGGGTGTTAAGAAATAAGAAACTTAAAGGACACCTGGATGGCTCAGCAGTTGAGCGTTTGCCTTTAGCTCAGGGCATGATCCCAGGATCTGGGATGGAGTCCTGCATCAGGCTCCCTGTGAGGAGCTGCTTCTCCC